TATAAATTATCATTTTGTAAATATCCGTTTTTTCGTTAATGTAAGTTTTCGAAGTTTTAAATTTACAAAATTTTTATGGATTAAAAAAAGATTAAAACATTTTGGAGTTATTAATATAAAAATGTAGGAAATCACGAAATTTTCCACAATGAAATTAAAAGAATTTATTTTTAATTTGTTTTTATTTCATATTAAAGAGATGGAAGATTTTTTGTGATACAATTTTTAATGAGTGGAACTTGCAATTATGATGATAGCAGAACACTTTTAAAACTAGCTTTGAATATAATGAACGTTCTACGGCGTATTTCCAATTTCCCGCTTAATCCTGGATGCACTTTCGTCGTGCTTACGTAATTATTTCCAAATAATGTCACATCCTGCCGGAAATGAGTTACCACATAATTGTATTATAAACCGCCGTTATTCGAGATCTAATGGATAATCATTGGCGGTGCGCGGAATTGACTCTCCGGTAATATTTGCATCGTCGACGCACTCTATACTATACTATACCAAGCAATAACGTTTCGACGAAGCGTCACGTTGTTACTTTCTATTTCGATGATCGACGCAGATTCATACTTATTTTTATTGGATTATCTATTGTATATTTCATAATCCAATCAAATCTGTTTTTGCAACTTCTCTGCTACCGAATCGAATATGTTTGTCCCTAATTTATGTGACCATTTGAAATTCAATGTATAGTAGAGCCTCTTGCATTTACGCTTTCCCTTAACGAGATCCTTCATCCACTTTCAATTGCAAAAATCTAAATGACTTGGATTACAATGAATTAGGTTACACTCCTGAAAATTTTTGACTTCTTTAATATTTAGAATAGCAGTTACATAAACTTTTCTATTTATAATAATCTCAAAAAATATCTTGTAAGGTATTAAAACTTTATGAATCATCTTGTAAAATAACATAATGAAAAAAAAAGAATCGAGGAAGAAAGCGTGTGACTCGAATATAAGAGTATAAGAAATTTAATGAAGATTGCATTATACATATAAAATGGAAATAGAAACGTTGGAGAAACGTATTAAAGCCGAGAAAATTTAATATCATTCTAGCTTAGTAACAATAGTTTTATTTAACTGTTTTTTTACATTGGAGTTTTTTAATAAATGGCTACATATATATATGTACAGTACAGTGTATAGCTCTCTATTAACGATATTGTGATATTTTCTGGATTCATCGAATGTTTGACGTCATAAAAGAGAGACCCAGATAAACAAGTCCCAGCTTTCATATTTTCGCCACGGTGGTTAATTGCGTCTACGTCCGGCTTGTTTAAAAGTGACATTGTCGCGACTAATTAAGTTCGCGCTTCTTTATGTGCACGGAAAGGTGAGCAGATTTTTTTGTTTACGGTGAAGTTTGAAAAACTGCTGCGGTAACTTGTCTAGGCGCAAGAAATAATATAATACATAGAATATAGATGCACAGTACTCCTGATAAATCATGATAAATTATTATTTCGTTTGTAGCGTTTAATGAATCATGTTTACGGTGGATATGTTTGCGTATCGATTATTTAATTTAAACATTTTCAAATAATACAGCGACATTGAATCGTTTATACATTTTAAATTAGTCATTTGCAGTCCTCTAATGACACATTGTTACCATTCAGCATTTGAAAGTTTCATTGGCTTGTTGGGATATTTAAAAGTCACACCATCACGAGGTGCTGATTAACCACATATTTAGTAACAAATCCAATGAGAAAATACGCTGTAAACGCCAGATTCAAAGGCGCAAATACGCTGCAATGAACGCTGCAAATAAGCATATACTTTCACAAGTGAGTACCTTTTGCATATTTCAGAATTAAATCTTGCATGAAATGTAAAGACCAATTAAGGACTGAAATGGTTCGTAAATTTCTGCGGCTATGCTGTATGCCTTTTAATAAAGAATCCATTTATGCCGGCGCTGTACGTGATGCATTATAATATGATTATTAAATACCTAACTGCAGTTCAGATCGTATAGATATTCACAATATTCATTTGCGCTGCTACTGAAGCTGTAAAATTATCACGGCGATAGTCCTCATTTACGACCGCCGTTTCTCGAGAGTACTGCACGTTCGTGATTAATTGAATAATCATAATATTGAGGTGAAAATTTCCAGCGGATGTCGACTAACACACGCACGTTAAAATTATGAAAATGTATTGTAATGCTCGTTTTTGTTGTGTGCAAGTTGCGCTTGATTCGTTGTTTTGTATACACATCCCCTAAAAATGTACACTACCATACACACACACACAATAATTTTTATTTGAACAATTAAATATTAATAATGAAGCAAAATGCATGAAAGCTAAATAAATTTTGGTTATTGATTGCGACTAAAAATTAGACATAATGTCATATTGTTCGCTCAACATTTGTTAATTGTTCTGGAAGTGTCTGAATGAGATTCATGAGATTCACGAAGAATGTTAAATCTAATGTAAAGTACTTTCGCCCGTTCGTTTATGTAAATTCGAATTGTCCTGCGGAAATGTGCTCGCATAAACGTAATACAATTGCTCGTGATAAGAACGGCGGTGGCAGAGGACATGATTATATTATTAAGATTCTCCGTCGTTCCGTAGAAAATTGGGGGCGGTAAAATTAAGGATATTTCCCGTGGCAATTGTTGCATTCGACTCTCTCGGCTATCGCGCGCAGTATACGCGATTTTTTATAGCCAAACTCTTATTAAAACCGCTTTCACCTATTCCGTCATTCATCCCTATAGCGGCTGGACGTCTCAAGAATGAAGCGATAATCTAGGATCTGTGTCAAGGGGTGATTCTCGTCTCCATTGTCGCAATGCATATTCATCTCACGACCATCTCGTAAGACATCGGGTGTACGTGGACGGATAATAGTCTTTTAGTTTTAGAAATAACTTCTCTCCGTCAAGCAGCTCAGTTGTAATAGGGCTACATAATTCTGGCATTAATTTTCTTCAGTCGCAATATTGTGCCCAGCTATAATATCGTTTTTGTTTAATGCTAATACGCCCCTCAATCCGACTTTGTAACTTTAACAGCCTCCAAAACGATAAACTTGATACAGCACATCTGCTGTAGAATCCAACGCTGGAGGAGAGCCGAAAATTCTTAAGACAAAAATCAAGTTTTCGAAAGTCGGATATAAACTTCGTGCGGGAGTTTGCATTCATTAAAAGTTATTCGCCGTATCAACAGATACTCACGCGTCTTTAAATCTTTAAGATATAGGAATGTAGAATAATTTATAAAAAAAGGTAATGAATGCAAAATTATATCATTGGGCGAACACAAAGCATAACTTTCAAGATGTTTGTCATAATTTTTATTTTCCTCCATATTTACGACAGTACAACTCTTTCGCCAACATATCATAGGTATCTAAAGCTGAGTTTCCTCGAGAGTATGTTACGTGAAATAAAATGTTATAATAAATCACTGTCAAGACACTCTTTGCGCGCAAACGCTTGCAACTAAAGTATCTTCTTTTTTTCTATGTTCTAAGTGTGTGAGTGGATAGCTCTCGCAGGTACTGATTTAGAAAATTTATTTTACTATTTGAATTATTACGTCGTATAGAAACGCTATTGTGTGTATCCTTATTAGAAAATGCAAATATTTTGGAATCGAATCTGTCAATTTAAAAAAAGGGAGATTATTTTTTTTATTACATTTGTATGTATATATATATATATATATATATATATATATATATGAACATATTTAAGAATATTTAGAAAATAATATATTTTTTAAATAAAATAATATATTCTCTGTTTAGTAAACTCTCATATAAACACTTTTAGGAATCTTTATAAAATAATAATTGGTAACAAATAAATAAGTAATAACGAATTACAACACACATAAAACAATTTTTTATTTTCTTTTTTTTTTTAAGATTATGCATACATATTTCATGTTTCTTGACAATCTTGTTCAGCGTTTTAAGCAATTACATGATTAAGGCAAATCATAATCAGAAACAACAATACAAATGTGTCTAAGCACACACCCAAATACTTGGTAATTATGCATTTCGTATGCCGCTAAGGCTTTCGAATTTAGGGAAAAGGTGAGAGAGCCTGTTGGCAAGATGGATCTTAGCTAGTACTACTAGTGTAACTTCATCAGAAGGGAGCCCTGTTTCTACGAAGTAGTTACACCGATAACCGACGGCAAAGCCGGTGCGCGTCTAAAGAATTACTTCGGTCGTAAAGGGTCGTACGATGATCTTAGATGTTTGCTCTAAGTCCAAGAGCTCGCCGTTCGACCATCGACTTTTTCTGTGGGGGCTAAATACGGGTCGATGGATTTTTGTAATAGTTGTTAGGATAATGTCCCGAGAGGCGATATACGAGAAATTTTGCTTTTAACAGCACAATAAGGAATTCTGTCGAAAAAAGAATGCGTGAGCTATTGGAATTGAAGAGTTTTTGTAAGAAAATTTTACATATTTTCTTATTTTAATTTTGTTTTGCGATCAATGACAAAATAATGATATCTTCTAGTGATGGTACAATAATTTTTATATCTTTTGTACAAAATATGCGCATATTAAAAGAAACAGCGCAATAAATGTTGAAATTATACATAATATTTTTAATGAGAAAATCTAATTGTAAATAAAAATGAGAGAGAGAGAGAGAGAGAATATTAAATGATATAAAAAAAGCTAATTCAGCACCCTGGTTAATCGCTGCAGCAAAAAATAAAAAAAGTGCCGACACATGAGAAAATTGGAACGTTATTTTAATATTACTCTCTCTTTCTCTCTACGTTAAACTAGTATTAACTACACAGTTAAGCTGGTATTTACATTGTTCTTGCTTACCTAGCCAATACATGTCAGTATGACTTTACGTTAATACGAAGAATTATTGCTTTGTCTTGGATAATAAGCTACACGATGGAAACATTTTCTAATTAGGTGCTAAAGGAGCTTTATACATTCTACGTAATTATGATTATACTTACCCCCGAGTTAAACTTCGTCTCTTAATACTGCCACATCCTCCCCCCGCGTCGGGACACTATCTTGGCCTCGTGATATGAATGAATATTTTAAAACAATTACATGCGCGAATAAGTCGTGTTTTTTATCCCAAGGAGAATTTCGAGTGGTATCATTGTCGTAAGAATTCTCCAGGCGAGCATTATCAAACGTATTGGAAGAAGCAAAGGAATTCAAGATATATTGCCTCGACAGTACCAGCTCATGCAAATTGAAATCGATTGAATCTTTGATGGTCGCGATAAGGAAATTACGAATGCCCCGCGTATGCAATTGAAGTATCTGCCAAAATATGATGTTGCATCATGGAATTTTTCTGATTTTTTATAGAAGGTCTTTGCTCGCAATTAGAATAACGGAATTCCAACTTTCTTACGGGATATAAAATTAACTTTTCTTGACTGTCCAGTTTATGTACTGCAATATTGCAACATTCTCTTTACTGTACGTAAATAATAATTTATTAGAAATCATTTGAACGATCTGCGAAACATTTGAAATAAATGACAGTATTGCAAAAAGTCCTTGACAGAGTCGTGTGATCGCAGTTAGCGAATTTCTCAAGATGACAGCTCACGCTCGAAGTCTTTAGCTCGCTAGATCAACGAAATCTTGATATATACAGTTCACTAAGTTTTCTGAAGTTTCTAAAGTTCCGATTTATAGCGAGTATTATAAACTTAAGGAACACTTCGAGGGGGTGAATTAGATTCGCGCCAGTTTAAATTTCGTTTTCGATCAAATTCAGGTAAACACAGCGGTAGTTTGACACGTAGATAGAACGATGAAATACTTCTCTCGCGCAGAGGATTTTCCCCGACGTAAGGCTTACGTGATTTTCAAGCACGATGCGAAATAGGGTCCAACCGAATGTAGCTACGCGCGTATACTGAAGGAACTTGTGGAGCGAGGGCGCCGGCTTGAACCGAACCAACCCCTCTTCCCAGCATCCCATGCGGCGCGCGTTCTCTTATCGGGCACTCGGGGACGATGGGATTTTTGGCCGATAATATCATGAGTTGTTCAGGGAAATGCGCGACAATCGACGGATGATTGTCAGCGGGAGGATCGACCTCACACAGGTTTGCAGGAGTTAATTGTCTCGATAGCTTTGATTCTCTATACCGTGCTGGGAGAGGAGATTTAATTATTCTCGTCTATTTGCACCTATCGAACCAATTAGACCTCGCCACGGAGACAACGCGAATCCTCAAAGTTTCTCTCCCAGTGTATCAATGCTACGGATATGTATCGAGATATTTCCGAGTTTATTGAACGTATAATTTATTATAGGTTTTTAATATAGACATGAAAGATAATTGAAACGTTCTCTTCACTTCCGATTGCCCATTAATTAAAGTTTAATTGCTTAGTTAAAAATGATAAGTTATCGAATGTTTTACGTTATGTGCCCCGCAAAGCTATCCTTTGTACTTTTTAATACAGCATCAGTATTTCAATACAGCATTAGTTGAATGGAATAACGTATTTGTAAAAAGAAGTAATAGATCAGCGGGTTAAGGCAACGGCCACAAATTTTAAAAGTTAAAAACTAAGTGTCGCTGCCACAGTCAGGATAAGTTTTAGGACGTTCGTGGAATAGTTTATACGGCACGTTTCGAATGCACCTTGATAGTTGTAATGCGCAATCGCGAAAAAATGATCCTTGACATATTTCAGAATTGTTGAATTAAAAAAGTGACACCGAAATACTTCTGAAAATATATATAAACGATTTTTCCATACGCAATATAACACGTTGGCAGGTTACTTATAGCGGTCTGGCCCATGAAATTTCATGAGAGTGAGATATCATGCCTCGCTTATCTTAAAAATTCTGTGTCGAAGTATGCAAAGCAATTTGCGGATGTTGCAAAACGTCCATCAAGATATTCATATTCACCAGAGAAAACTGAAACGAGGGCATGAATTTTTAAAACGCCTTAGTAAATACTTTCGACTTTACATTAAATATGGAGATGTGATTTCGGCTGAATTCGATAGAATATTTCATTACGATCTTTTTAATTTAAATATTAGCAAATCATGTTGCGTTTTAATAAATTTAGAGAGTAAGAATCGAACTCTGTTGCTTGATTTCACGCCAATAAAAAAAAGACATTTATTTACTATGCGCATCAAAATACATATAACTATTATTACATTTTTCTTCGTGTAATAATAATTATAATACTTATTCGATTAAGAGCTATAGCAAAAAAGTCAGTCTCTGGTAACACAGAACAATTATGTGCTCGGCTGCAGATTTTTTTTGCTGCAATGCGAAAGCGCAAAACTGCATCATTATTATCGACATTCCTAAGAAAAAAGTAAAGGTCTACTTATTGTATCGTAAAGGTTAATGAATCTGCATTCATTTGTACGATTATTATCCATTACGACGTAATTGCTATAACTGATAACAAGATTGCTTATCCAATGACCACGGTATGTTGTAACAATCGATTACTATTTACATATTATGAATGATGCATTTTCTTTAGAAAATATTATAAATGAAAATTAAGGAGGCTGTTTACTATTTGAATCTGAGGCATGTGCAATTGAAAAATCAAAAACATTTAATTAATCTTGCGATGGAAATAAAAATAAAATAAAAAAAAATTTATTTTATTTTTAATAAAATTTTATTTTTTAACGAAATTTTAATTTAGAGATAAATACAGGAATAGGTTGAATTCAATTCGATCAATTTTTGCTAAGAGAATGAAAGAGCATTTTTTGAAAATGAAAGAGCATTTATTGAAAATTTTATAATTATGAAAAAGTGTGATTTTTACTACACCCGGTATATATGTATATATTTCACGTAGAAATGCATGCATGTCCGTGCGCTTTGAAATCGTCGACTGATAAAAGACAAGTGATATTTGTGGGTATGATTAAATCTCTCAATCGTGAAATATGTATGTACGTACAGGGAATAAAGATCAAAGGCTATCAGCATCGATATGTCTCGCTCTTTCTGTCTTTCAATTCCACAGAGACTCGAGCGTATGCAATTTCCATCGTCGCAGGGAATTGCATGTTGAAATTCCTTCAAGCATTATAAGAAATGATTACCCGTAAAGATTTATGGCGCAAGCGGTGTATTTTTATTTCTCTTTATGGCCGCGCGACGCGGCACACTTATGCGCACACCTCGCCGCGAATTTCGTTCAACAACGTCGTTCCGTCAGTTGCAACAAAGCTTTGAAGTCATATTACGATAAATAGTCTTTGCGCCGGACGGCAAAAATAATGGACAATTTATCATTACTGCGCCGTTTCGTCGTAGCCTTTTTTTCTCTCTCTCTCTATTTTTTATAAGCTGCAAAACTAAAGTGTTCGTTACGCTACGAAAAAAATTATGTATATCGAACAACACCGGCTGCTATTTTTTTCACGAATATTACCATCCGTTCGGTTGCAAACGCAGGGCAATTTCAGAATTTCGGAATTGTGCCGTGAATAAAAAAAAAGAGCAAGCAAGATCAAGCGCATATCAAATTGTCAGTTAGAACTGACCTTTGCGCAGTACAGTTTTGCATATCGGGGAAAATGGTTCTCTCGGTTGAATTCTACTTTTATCGGGTAGTACTTCCCCTTTATCACCCAATAAAAAAAAGAGCGGTCCTCCGTATCATAAAACACGAGGCAATGCAGAAACGCTTTCCCTTCCCGTTTCTGTACCCGTCGCATTCATAAATATCGCCAGCGGAAAAATGCGTTAGCATTAATCTCGAAGTTTTACACGTAGAAACAGTGAGTTTCCCATCGAACGGGAATTTCCATTCGCGTAATTTACGTGTCTTACTCGCGACGGCAACGTGCGGTCTTAAGAGTACCTACTTCTAATCGTAGGAATTAATTACAGTAAAAAGTTGCGAGCGGAAGTTCGCCGAAGCCCTTGCCATACATTAAAGGCCATTGCTTTGTGGTAACTTTTCCCTCTTCGACGATAAAGAACCTTCGTGAACTTCGTGAACTCTCGTTTGCTACCTCAGCGGGGCTATTTGGTTACAGTGAAAACATTCACAACGTTACACCGTACTCGTCCGTATTTTTGCACGTATTTCCGTAAATGAAGTCTGGCTTAAGCTAAGCTATTTGCGCGTTTCGTTTATCAAAAGACGCTGGCAAAGCTGAATTGTTCTGAGAATGCGAAATTAACTTTCTTGCAATATGTATATTATTTTTATGTAAACTACATTCTGCAAATAATTTTTGTATTAATAAGCGAGATTTAATTAATATACGTAATATTTTCTGTATTTATCAAAATTTATAATGCATAATTGATAAATATTATTGGTTTTCTCTTTAATATAAATTATATGAATAATAACGAAATTTGTTCAACCAAAATTATAAAACATAAATTATTATACAAAATTAGTTACGCTAGAATATCTTTTTAATCCGTCACTTCACGTCAACGATTACTTGGAGAAGAAACTTTTTTTAATATTACATAGCATTTCAAGAGTCTGGTTTATTTTTAAGCTCGTTGAAATGAAATGTTTTTATTTCTGTCGAGGCGTATGAGACGTTTTACGTTTCTCTCTATGTCAAGTAAGAATGTAATATATGTACAATATTGCACAATTTATTACACTATCCTAAACGTACGAAATTTTCGCCGGGGTGCCGAATCTACGGCTGTCAGAGTTTATTTAACTGTGTACTGATAACGCTGTCCGGATGAATTTTCGAATTGGATCATTTTCTCTTAGGGGCAATGTTATATCTTTGATGGACGCGAAGGCGAAATGCGCGGTTTACGCGATGATTCATCGTAGGTAAGGTTTATCCGGTGTTCCGCGTAAAGTCACGGGCATTTCTCAAGAGGACTTGAGATAAATGGAACAAGTTTCTCCGAGGGTGCAGCCAGCTACGTTATTTCTCATATTACGGGGTAGAGAAGGGTGCCACCGTCCTCGTCGCGCTGTTGTCGCGCTCCCGCGTCGCCCTTGAACGCATAGCTAATAAGCTGCAAGGCTTTCGCCTTCGTATTGGAAGACAATCATCGTGACTGTCGGTACTTCCGCGCTCCTTTGTGCATCGCGCTCCCCCGGGGAAGTGAAGTCTATTGCAAGACCGGATTTGCTGAGGTTGATCGGTTATCAATGGCGATTTCATGTTAGTTTGTTCTTCCGAATGTTGTTTGATCTCAAATATGCGAGTCCGATTTATTCTCTATCTCTCTATCTCGCGAATAAACTCTTCATCTATCTATTTATCTATTCTATCTACACGTATATCGATCTACATACATATCTACCCTGTTTACATCCTCGGCTTAATGTCTAAATTATTCGATAGCGGTAAACGAACGTTCACAAATCGCTTGGGAATTCGAAATAGGTCATTAAATAAGTATTAGCATTACGTAGATTAATCAAGTTTTTACTATGGAAATTTTTCTAGGCACCGCGGCTGGAATCGTTTAAAATTTTTGCGAATACATCGAAGTTTAAAACACCGAGCGATGCTTTGGATTATCGTTTCAATTATCGCAGAATCGTTTAACAATTGCCGGAAAACAAATTCTCGCTATCGTTTGTATAATTTTATTCTGGTCAATTCTCCGGGGATGCTTTCACGTAACTTGGAGGTAATTTCATCTGCGCATCTATATTTCAATACGGAGCGCCGCGGATAGTCTTCGGCATCTGATATCGCCATCTCATTCGAGTTATCGCGATATGGATATCAACGGGAAGGTTTAATCGAATAGGGATTATGTAATTCGCTTCGAAGTTATGCTGACGTTCGTATTACTAATATTAATATCACGAAATCGGGACTCATGTGCGCGCGTCTCGTTGCAAACGTATTTTATTTCGCGTCGTAGCTCGCGTGCCTCTTAAAAAAACGAAAGAGGGAAGGAAAAAAAGCGAGTAAACTTTACAGTCGTAACCGACGAACGTGGACGTGAATGGACGAAGCGCTAGTAGTGCAGGCGGTAGCTCCGTAATGTAAAATTACGGCGGATGCAATGACGAGCCAGCGCTCTAACGAGAATCCAGCCGTACAATTCGAATTCGTTCGGTGTTCGTTTGCTGGTGGCAAAATTTCCGACGGAAAATCGAAATGCGCTTTAAAACCCCGTGCGCGGGGAAATATTAGAACGGAGATGAAATCAGATAACGAAGTCGTAAGGAATAATGACGTTGCGATTATGATGTGGTTTTATCTTCCCCGCAAATGAATTAAAATAATTTGACGGAGTTCTGAATTGCGTCCACGGCGGTACATCTCGCCTGTCGGCGATTACTACCTCATTCTCTTTTTATCCCTTTCTGTGCCTCTCATGACAGTTCGGAAAGTACGCGGAACTGACCCCATGCTTTACTCTTCCGCTTGCAAATTTATTGCGCTTTTAAATCGAAGCGCTTATTGGCAAAAGTTTGCTCGAAATTTATGATAGCGCGCATTCCGTTATGAACGTCATTAACTTTCATATTTGAGGAGGATACGCGAACGGGGATGAAACGCGCTCCGTTTTCCTAATTTGAGCCAAGCGATGAGTAAACGAACTTCTGGCAGCTCGTTCCTCCAGCTGTAATCCCTCGATAGAACATTTCTCTCGATGCATTTCCCAAGCATGTCATTATGTATTTGCTGAGAAGGAAATAGGGGGCGAAATACAAGCGTCAATTATCGACTACGTTAAACGGGGCGTGTGCGGTAGCTGTTTAAATTTCACGGTAATAGGGTAAAACCTTGTTAGTCACGTATACGTGTGCAGAGTTTAATACTAAATTTATACCTTGATTTTGTTGGGTACCGTGATTGTTAGATGTTACATTGATGATGGTAATCTCATGCGACAATTGTTTGTTCCAACTTGTACCCCTATGAGTTTATTATCCAGACCATATTACGTGCGCGATGCATGAATTTTTAAAAACAAGTCCGCGAACTGTTTTCAAATGTAAAATACGACGCAACGGAGCGACATAAATGGGTTTTAAAAATAACGCCGAGATACTCCCTTTCCCTGCGTAATGTTTTAACGAGGAAAACTCAAAAGAGATTATATCACATTTTTATGTACTAATCGTTGATGTTTTGTATAATTTGTATGTGCTCTCTCTTTTGCCTTTGCTTTACCCAATTTAAAAATACAACAAAGAAAATGAAAAAGATACTTTTCGTAAAGTGAACATACTTTACGGACATGTTGTATTACGCGTGTGCCTATACATTTTTTTACCGATATTCTCTTTTCCCTCTATTTTCTTATTGTAACATAAAAAATTATCACGTCACAAACAGGCACATTATGCTTTTCTTAAATGCGTGATTTTTAAATTGTCATTTCCATGTACGATGACGCTTTTCAAAAGTAATCATCGCGTAATTTCAACATACGTATTCCAATGGCGTCAAAAAAGGGAACGTGAAGTTTTCTCCTCTCCGTGCTTCGACTTCCGTAATGCCATTCATTTGAAATTCCAATGTTTCGACAATTTATTTTAAGTGTAAAAATAAGAAAAATATTCCTCTTCTGAAGACATCTCGGAAGTGTCTTGATTCTTGAACACGATGTTTTTAGTCTAGCATTGCAGCGCAAGAGATTCTATTGGTATAAAAAGCTTTGTGAAACTGTAGAGAATGAACATATAAAAAGTGAATTTAACCGAATGATATTATTTTATAATGATTAACGATGTTGTTGTTTCTGTTATAATTTATCTCGCGTTGGGAAGAATCTTAAATTTAAATTTTATAATTTCTTTAAGAAAAGATCAAGAATTTCAGAAAATACATACAAAGTAAGTGCATGAGTGAATTCATTACGTATAAAATTAATATCTAGTTAATAAAGAAATAAAATATAAAATATGTAGATTAAGAACTATTGATTATATGCAGTTTTTTACTTACAACGCTATGCAAAGAACGCGCGGAAATCGAGATCCAGTTTCGTTGCTTCTTATTTATTATTTTACTGTCTCTGTTCTCTCGTATAAACGGTGAATATTATGAGTATCGCGAGTTCAGCGAGGCGAAATCGAGGCTTCGAAAATACACCGCGATACATTCTGTTAAAGATTGTTCTGCTCAAATTTGGTGGAAAATCCATAATTCAGGGAGCTTCGTGATTGTAATTGACTTGATTAAATATTAATTTCTTAACCGTAATTTGCTGTTGTGTATTATTTTACCTTTGGCTACATTATTAACTTGCTATATCCTCAATCTAAATGCAATATTATTCATGAATATTGATCAAGATAATGCAAAATAAATTTAAATTGTTTTATAGCTCAAGGGTATTTAATAAAAGTCGACATTTTAAAATAGCTCTAATAATACTTTAAATTTCCTCGAAATTTGTTATTAACGCCTTAATTATTAATTATTATTAGAGCTATGCCTTTAAGAGGAATTACATTTGATTAAAATATAATTCACTTCTTTGTTATAATAGTAGAAGATAAGAGAGACGAAAGGTGGAAAAGATAGAACGTATACATTTCTTACATTAGAGCAAGCAAAAATCGAAATTTAAAATCATGCACGCAGCGTAATTATTCTTGCACTGCTTTTGTAATTGCTTCTATACGTCTCTAAGATATACAACGCAACCGTGGTCTCTATCCTCCCGTTCGCTGTTAACGAATGTTACGGGCCTCAGTGGAGCGAGACCTCGCCCTCGGACGCGCAATTCCGGTTGATATGCAACATATGCATGCCATGAAATACGCCGCAGCGTATATCCGTCCGTGTGCTCTCTTACCCTTGTAATTGAAGTGTCCTAGCGCTGACACCGCGTTGGCTGCGTCCCGAAATAATTTCCAAATATTTATCAATACGATTATTTTGCAATTTATTTTTCAATAGCTTGTACATGCCCATCATTGTCATCCCTTTGCGAACGCCATTTCTTTGAAAATTCATTTTCTTCTGATATTATAATAAATCGATTTTAAATGTAAACTTATACAATTTAAATAAACGTGTAATTTAAACAAACGAAGTTCAATTTTGATACAATTTTGAAATAAATTTTTATGTGAAACATTTCGATATTTATACATTTAAATTTTTATTTGAAATATTTATCTCGATATTTATATCATTCATATTTGATACGGAGCTTGATTAATCCCGGAAGATAGTTAAATTATTTGAAGAGCAATAAATTCTAAGGACAACTCGGAAAAATCAATACAGGATTTATATGATTGCCGTACGCATCAGGAAATTGCAGACTTTATATGATTTAGTTGAAATGTAGTATCATCTTGTTTTTTTTATGCCTTATGTCAGTGTGGATGAAACGGATGTAAATGCGGTTGTAATTCATTTGCGGATATAAATAGCAGCAAAAAGTGTATGCTTTGCATTTTTAGTCATAAAACTGCGAAAGATACTGCCCGTTTTACTAGAATTTCTACGTAGATTGTGACATATAAATCAACCTTTTTGTCGGAACAAATATGAATCGGGAAAGAAATTAACACTATATAAAAATTCAACTCGTGAAATATTCTATTTAGCAAATTTTCTGCTGCTTTTTCAAACGTACTGTTTTATATTAAAGAGAATATGTTTGTTCGCATTTTTCTCTCTTTATTTTACTAATATACAATAAAAAAAATAGTGTAAATTTAATTAACGTGTTATAACTTGGATTTAAATGCTGCAAACAATGGTATTATTTCTACGTCAAAGTTAAAATATTTCTATGGTATCTATATCGCTAAAGCCCATAAAATGGCAGGTATAATAAAAAGTAAATATTCCAAATAAAATATCTTATCAAGCCAAGCGAAACGTAGACGTTTTTAAATTGCAATTCTTTCACAATCTACAGAATTATACAGAATTTCGTAACAAAAACTTGATCTTCGAAGGTGGAAATCGCGATTGTGATTCAAACGTGAAATGAAATTTCTAGAGCTTCTTTGACAATTTCAGATAAGTTTGTTGTGGAATATGGCCTAAAGGAACATTTTATTTACAAAGCCGCTCTTTGTAAAGCTTTCCACAGTTTGACTGCGCCAGACATTTGTCTGTTATTTCAATTTCGATGTCCAGTAATAGACATTTCTCGTCGAATATTCTGAAACAGTTTCAACGGAGGTTGTTTAGTGTAGCGTGAATACACGGTGCGATGGATTTACGACACGACATACATAAGCGGATTTTACGTATGAACATTAATTACGACTAATTACCGTACAAGTTGCCATGATAATAACATGTAAATGCAATTATCGACAAGTACGATTTATAAAAGCAATAAATACAATTGTAAAAAGTCGCTGTTAAACGGATTATCAAATATAGTTATATTCCCTATATTCTCTTTTATTAATACATATAATTATCATGAGTGATTGTTCATTGTTTTATCAATAATTGCAATACAGTTAACTGCAAAAATAGATGATAATAGTATCAGGCGTTCGAAAAGAAGTGTATGAGAAACAGATTCTTTCTCTGAGCTTGCTAGAATAATTCACGATTAATTCGAATGACGATTAATGAATAGTTGAGCGAAATTCTTTAGTCTCTCTCATCATGAATGTGCGTTTCATTTAAGTGAACAGATTTTTTTGGTCAAATGCAATATTTTACTTAGTTTTAGAAAAATTTTCTTTTCACAAAAATTTTAACTTAGTCTACATTAAAAAGTATGACGGTTTTACTAATCCAGATTGTTATGAGAATTGATGGCAAGTTACACCAGACGATGAAATTGGTGTCCATTGGTATTCTGTTCGCGTCCGTTGCAGCGGCACTGTCGTAATTAATTACTATAATTTCTGTATGTCCCTCGTGCATAATTTCCAGTTCACACGATGATTGCCATTCGGGCAGCCGGTGTATCCGTTTCTGGTCAAAGCTGCCATCAGAATGTCGCCTATTGCGCATCACCGAAATCAACTTCATCAAATCAGTGGCAGTGGATTATGTTCCATCGATTAAACCTAATTTAGGTCAGATTGACGCTCCCGATGTCAATGGCAGAATTCTGGATGCGCACGTCTATATAGCTTGAATGTATTTTACTTTCTGATTTGATCTTTCGTACAATTTATAGTGTTTGATCATACCGTTCGGTATTTTCCCTTCGTTCAGTTTCAATCCCCCGTTTCACCGTCATGCTTTGATGAATATCCGCGAGTGATACGGTCGGCTGTTTACAAAAATCTTTTATGTGTTGAGACGTTCTGTTTGTTACCGGGAAATATAACTGTCACCGCGTCGAGATTACTGAAGTCGTCGGTAGATACCTCATGCCATATAGAACACGCACAGATCAATGAGACCGTAACCACGGCGGATAATGGACAGTTAATCGAGGTGATTACATGGCTTAAAGGCTTCACGATTAAGATACGATGGCATGACACGAGCCTCGGACGCAAGAGAGCCGACATAGATTTGATAAGCATCATGATCCCTACTAGCACAAGGTTCCGGCCGCCGATATATCATACCCACCTGGAGGTGGGTGTAAGTGGGGAATAGCTCTAACCATCTGATCGTTCGACTCATTCGCAATTTATCTCCAGTGTCGTTTTATTCGCCGTGCTTAAATAAACGTACGCGAAGCTGTCGTATACACATGCCGATAATCAGGAAAGATGCGAGCCTCGACTTCGCGGAATTGAAAAACCTTGGTTAAGACAGGTAAACCTGGGTGTCACGCTGTGATACGAGAGGAAACGGTGCGTGGGTTGCCATTCCAATTGAATACCTTTTGTACCTATATAAATTCACAGAAAATGTAAGATTGTTAAAGGTCAGATATCTGCAGTGCTATATCATCTCTTATCTTTACATCTTGCATGATGATTTTAAAGTAAGTTAATATTAGTAATGATTGAATGTAAAGATTGATTCAAAATTAGAGAAATTTAATTTATAAATTATATTAATTTTTAATCAATACTATGTCATTTAATTTATGTAGCAATACTACAAATATATATAACTTGTTATAGTATGTATATATAACTTATAATTTATATTAATTAACAATATATATAAAGCCTGCACATACATATATAATTTTACGGAATTTAAAAAGTGTTTATTAATTCTAAACATATAAATTTAAAAAAATATTTTTAATATTAATTAATAGTTTTACAAGAGAGAAGAATTACGTATGATAAATGCTGCATGTGATGTATGTATACATTTTACATTATGAATTCTTTCTGCATGCTACGTACAAAATTATTATTCATTATCTAACAAGTTATTATATATAACAAGAATATTTATAATATATGTATAATACAAGTGATTATTTGTTAAAAGAATTGCAACACAAATGTGATAAAAATTTAATCAGCGTGTCGCCGCTTGAAAACCGGTATATAACAGAAAATACATAAAAATAGATATATTTGTCGTAATTTAAGCACGCGCAGGCTTTTTGACAGGAGATGTTAGATTTTCACAAGAGCGATTGCAATGCAACTATTTCTACATCATGTCAGGCATAAAATATTTCATCATCGCATTGCTGTCCGTAAGCCGCGTTCAATAGAGTTACATAGTTGTGCGCGACGATGGCCGTAGAGTGAAAATGACAAGTGATGTGCCAGGGGCTAATTGAACTGCACGACATAGGTACGGACGCGTATGCAAGGGTGTCCTCATTTTCGCAGACTATTACTCTTCGATACAGCGAATTCGTAATTGATAGACTACGTACCGTCATAATAGTGATTACGCGCTTATTGTTTAATTAATTATAGCATTTGCAGTAGTTAGGGTCCACGTCGTGATTACTGGATTTACAAGCTGATGGTGGCTGTCGCAAGTAGTTTTCAGCATCACTTAGCACGGGATTTAATAAGCATCTATTAAACGTGACTTGTTTTTTCTCGAGTGAATGTCTGCTGCATAAATAGAATGACTGTTATGTAATACTAGCACTACAGACGCGCGCTTCGCGCGCGCTATTTAATTGCACTTTTACTTTTAACTATAATTGATTATAATTAACCTCAATACATCAACCTCAATACATACAACTGTCAAAAGTCAATGTAATGACAGTCGCTCACGAAGTTAGCGCAGCGAAAGAATCAATCAGCGTCGCGGAAAAGAGTCAATAATCAGCCTCTTCAGCACAATCGAATGGGACTTGCGTAGAAATTATCTCCTGTTTAGTCGCTAATTAATCACGGAAATCCCGATTTTTTC